AATATATGCAGACAGACATATGGGTATCATGTGTGCGATACATGGTGTGGTAATGGAATCAACGCAACACAGAAATAATCATGCAACAAGGATATGATATTTAAGGTTTTGGTTGTATGCTAATTTACTGACTGAACCCAGCATCATCGTTGTGGTACAGATCCATCTAACTGAGGTCACCATCACCCATGGAATTTAATCAACCGATATTATCGATTTGTAAATGATAATCTGACCAATGTTTTGCTCTGTTGGTCAGCTTGATCAGACAATCTGTGAATGAAAAATCGTATCTTGTGATAATTGGAGTCCGGTTCAATAAATTATGGACGAAAAGGACACACAATGAAACTCGATTCCTAGTAGGACGAAATGTTCTACAAAAAAAAAAATTGTTATTCGATTTTACTGAAGAAATGTAATCTCAAAAGGAACGCTAGCAAAAAATATGATCACGCCATATCTCGGAACTTTGACCTATGGCGAATTTCATTTTCTGGGATTTTCATATACTCACCAAGATCTTTCATCCCCAATAGGAATTTTCAATACCCCAAGACAATGACCCCGATGAGTTGTTTAATTGGGAAAATGAAATACCAAATTACAGACACTCAGATTGGAAAATTATATAGCGAGAACTTTTTATGGATTCATTCATGTAAAAACATGAATATATTTTGAATACTTTCAGGAATATTGTTTTTATTGGCCAGAAATGCGAATTGCCAATTTACAGCCACTTTGTGGTTAAAACCATCAAAATATCGAAACTAGATATATTCTTTTCCCTGAATTGAAAACCTTCCGGAACATTGTTTTCATCCCGAAAAATATTGCAATTACAGCAAATTCGGCTAAAACTTTTAAAATATCGAAAATGAGGGGGAATCTTTATATGATACCAATGACCAAACATGTCTCTATATAGAATATGTTCTGCAAATATGTTTTTGATACATAAAAATTCCGAAAATGGAGCGGTACCGATATTCAACCATTAAAATACGAAAACAGGAGCGGTTCCGTTATGTTCAAAATGTGGAGCGATATTTATAAGTTTTGATAACAAGTTTGAGGCCCAATGATTGTAACCTCAGCATCCTGTGTCCCGCGCACAAAAATGAAGACAAGACGATATTTACCAACAATAGAGTAATTAGTCTCCTTCCCATCGACTGAGACCAATGGTCAATGACATTATTGGACCATACCAATGCGGCTGCAGACCTGGAAAACCCACCATAGACCAGATTTTCACTATGCGCCAAATCCTGGAAAAGACCCACAAAAAACACCATGACACATTTCACCTATTCGTCGACAGCATAGGTGTTTAAATCCATGTCTACGTTTGGCATTCCTGCAAAATTAATGCGGCTATGCAGGATAACTCTAACTGACACAAGGTAAGCAATATAATTTGGAAAAGACAGGAAAGGTGACAGTTTGTCGTGTGACCTGTTTAACATCCGACTGGAAAAGGTCATTCGAGACAGCACACTCGCCTACGCCGACGACATCGACATAATAAGTCGAACATTGCGAGCAGCATCAGACACCTTTGAACGAATTGAGGAGTCTGCCAAAGGGGGACTTGCAGTTAATGGCAAAAAGACCATGCTGATAATATCAACAAAACGTCCGGTAGACTCGGACCAACTGTAGAATTTGGAAACTACAGCTTCGAGGTAGTGAATGACTTTATATACCTCGAGTGAGAATGGGTGAGGATGCGCCAGCTCAAAAGGCATATAAAAGCGAGCTAACTAATGGTTCACGCAGAAGGGGAAGGGCATGAATCCGATGGAAAGATCAAGTGAAGACATCTCGGAACATGGTCATTCAATTTGGGTGGGATACGCACAAGACCGACGCGCCTGGAAATCTTTTTTTTTAAGCTCGGCTTATGGAACAAACGTTCTGTCACAAGCCAGCTATGTAAAAAATACGATAATAGCATTAGCATAAGTATTTTGAAGATTTTAGCTTAATTTTCCAAACGAAGAGGATGTAATTTGATTTTTTTTTCTCCTGGGGTTGCACTCCTAAATTGGTGTCCTCAGTCAAGTAATGAATTTTCTTTTTTTCCTCATTTTCAAATGTACAGATTTTCTAACAGTCACTTAGCGAATAACCAAACCATGTAATGCGTTGCCAACTACAATATTGTTGGCATATGTTCAGTTAATGACTAACTGTTATATGTGCAGCGTACTATTTAGCGTAGACACCCACCCATGAATAACTTTCAATAAATATAATAAAATATTTAATATAGTCGAAATCGCTTATAACGATGGTCAAGGTTCCGGCTGAAATTGGACGCTATGGGCAATATGTCGTTATAATCGATATCAAATAGAGAGTATAACTATGCTCGGGACTTTTGGGTATGTCGTAATAAACGATTTCTAGGCCTGAGAGAAGTGTTATCGACATCTTTAAACAGTGTGCCATGATTGACGATATCAAAGGGTTTGGTACTACCAACATTGGTCTATGGCATATCCTGTTCTGGTTCAATCCTCGATTTATATATGTATATGGACATGTAATGTCTGAAGTATATTCACTACTGGCAACAAAAGTTAGACTTTGGGGACTGTATAACTGGTTTCAGTAGCGGGACCACGCGGCTCATTGCCCGGACTTTTGAAATTCTAAATATTGAAAAGGACTTAGTCCTGATTTAGATTTGGCGAGCTTATTGTCAGCAATTTTCATCGTTCATCGTTCAAATTAATGACACAAATACAAACAAAATATTCAAATCGAATTGCCAGAAAATTGCCGGTACGAGCAATTTTTTTCAATATCTTTTCCCCTTGCCCCTCTCTCCGGCAAACTAAGACGTGCCGCAAGTAAACTCGCCTAATTGGGACTTATACGAAGTAGTATTCTTTGCTTCTGTCTGTCAATCCCGATATGCTCGGCAAATTGTCATTAAAAAAAAGTAATTTCTTTCAATCAGCCACGGCAGGGTACCCACTTTACACACACCGCTTCCCATTATGTTTTTCCCCGGCTAATCAGCTGACCTATAATGTAAGTTCACGTTCATCACGTTCATTTGCTGGTACAACTGTCACTGCAGGAAAATTAAGATTATATCAACTATTCGGCCAGCGACAGTAGCTGCAATGATATCCAGGAATTTCCTTTCTCTTATCCTCACATAAGAGCAATACAAAAGTTGCCAGACCACATAGCGTTCAGAGCCATCAACACACTTCCTAAAAGTCTGCGCAAAAACATAGCGACTGCTATAACAAAAATCTGCTTTGAAAAGGACTGTTTCTAGAATGAAGACACATGTCGAACCTGGACAAATTTGAATTTAATTCGCAGATGCAATTTCGCATAAACTGCGAAATAAATACACGTTATCAACATACGACCTTTGCAAAGCCACATAGCCCAATATGCCTGATGAACCGCTTAACCAACGGCGAAACGCATCGCATAATGGTGTGTGTGTGTGTAGGTTCTTCTCCTGGCATTCTTTATATTGCAAATCTTCGATCATTAGGCTTGACTCGAAAAAAATATAAAAACTCATCTAAAAATTCATTCAATTGAGCATCGCCCTTATAGGCAAAATTCAAATAAATAAAAATGTTTAAAAATTTGTTTTTCTCCGAAATTGTGCGAAAAACTAAAAATTTTCTTAAAATTACAATTTTTTACCCGTATTTCTCAAAAAACTCAAATGCTCCTCCCGATTTTTCCACAAACATTTCAGAGTTCCTGGACACCTCACAATTTTGTTCCGATTTCGGTAGAAATTCAACATCTTCTTCAGAGTTCGGAACGAATTCGCAATAACTCGAAAAAACGATTGCTGGGAATAGAAGACGGAATTATTTGTATTTTGCTGATTTAAAAGTTTTGATTTCTTTTTTTTTAATATGAAAATATATTTTAGATAAAAAATCGAAACTTTTATTAGTTGTGTCTGGTTACTTTTCCAGTAATGTTTACTCAGTAAGTTCTATTTCAGAGAGTAAACCATTTTTTAACACAACACTCAGAAATATTCAGCAAAAAATCAGTCGATTCGCGAATTATCTTCCATTTTCTAAATTTTTTATCATGGCATAATATTGCCATGATTTTTTTATAAAACACAGTTTAAAAATGGGCTTTGGAAATAAAAATGTTTGGATATCTTGCACATAATTTTTGTCGATTGGTTATAAAACAGCTGATTCAAAAATTACTGAGTTTGCCAAATCTTACTGCATAAAATTCTTTCAGTAAGTTTTCAGTTGATGAAATATGAAAATTGCTCTCTTTCTTGACTCTCTTTTACTGAATTTTTGGTAAACAGCATTTAGTAACAATTGTTATCAAACATCGAGTAAACAGAAGCAATAATTTTAACAAAATAAGAATCTCATTTTCAGAAATGCTTTCGAACACCGTTTAACTCCCACTGTGTAATCACGGCCGTTTGTGTATTTACGCTTCCACACTTCCATAGACGCCATACGTTCAATTACAACCTTTCAACAGCTGCTCACATATGACCGAACAGCTGTTCACATTTGTCAACAATGCGGTTCTCATGCCGTCTCCATTCCACCTTATTCGTAAATATTTTCGTTATATCGTTTTGAGTTCTACTTTATCGACCATTTTGTCTTCTCGAAAGTGGAACGTTTTTCAATTAAATTCCAAACAAGCTCGTTTAGGGCCACACACAAGAAGACAAAAAACAATAAATTAGCACGAAAAAATATAGAATATTTATAAATGGAAACGAGAAGATAACGCAAATTCGACAAGCGGAAAGAAAATGTGTTCAAGCAGAGTGTAAAGTGCTGACACAATTGATTGAATTTCTCACGGCCCAGGGCTTATATAAAACAAAAGAATTGAAGAAATATTCAATTGGTATTTGAGTAAATAAAAAAATGTGAGTGGAAAAATAAAGCGATTTTGAAAGAATTTTGTATTAACTGTTACGCATTTTATAGATATTTTTGGCGTGGCACAATGAATGGAATTATTGAACAACAGAATGCGGCATTGCCTGCGGTACAAATGGCTGAACCACTGCATATTCAACGTTTGGAGGCCGCCTTGGATATGCGTCCATTTATGCAGCAGGCTAGGGAGGTGCTGTCGCGGCCAATAACTAGTCCCGAAGAGTCGGAGGCAGATGACACGCCTGGCGAGGAGTCATATGATGATGAAAGTGCTGCCGGTGGCAGCCGAAAGAAAAAATCAAAGAAAGTGGGAACCAAGCAAGGTGAGTTGAAAAGAAAAAGAGTTGGTTTTTCGGATTTTTTCTAATTGGACAGATGGCCGGAGGGTCTAAAGAAAGCCGGAAAGGCTGGGAGACCCTTTTAACGCTTGAATTTAGAATTTTTGCTGCTACTTGTAAGGGATATAATCGCGAAGGAGATAATTTACCAAAACGTGGTCGATAGGATGAGCTGGGTAGTGACATTCACAGATAAACGCGATTTCCTAGCAATTTACCTGAAGCTCGACCAGCGTAACTTACCATGACATACTTATACGGTTTTCAAAATTTATTGGTGATCCAATGTCGCGGAACAAGTCTAGTTAAGGCCCTCTCCGGGAACGTTTTGAAACTTTTACCACAAGTAGTCCATGGGGCCCTGATTACAATGGTATCCTTCTTTTTTGTTATTGAGGAAATAGATATTTTCGGAGAAATGGGCCTCTAAAGTTTAGTTGGGCCCTTGTATTTTCTCATAAATATTAAAATTTACTAAGGCAATGTGGGTAACAATGTAAAGCGTTTTAAGCCCTTATTACAAAAATATAATATTCTTACCAAACAAGTTCACACATTTTGAGATATTGGTCTCCAAAATTCCGAGGGACCCTTCTTTAATTTTGAAAAAACAATATGGGTGCTTGTGATGTAATACGTTCTTCTATGGACAAATGGTAACTAGAGCTATCGCACTGTAATTTTCTTTTAATTTCAATTCATTGAACATTTACCAACGCAGCGATACGATATCGAAGGTAGAAATCAATTGTCTATCAAGTTCAGTAAAAAAATCGCAATTCTGACACCAGGATCAGCATTCCGGATGAATTTACAATAATCTTAAGCCAAACTTACGGCCCTTATCATTCACATATAGAGAAGTAAAGACAATAATTTTTAAAACAAATTAGTTTAAAGCTCTTGAAAACGGTATTTTAAGGCTCATATTAAGAAGGCTTGCTTCAAGGGTCGATTTTGTGTATCTGACCAGAAAATATGAAACTTCTAGTTTATCGATTGGGAAGGCTGATCGGACAATTCCAATTCTCAAAAAAGACCAGATATTAAAATATCAGTTGCTTCCGTTCCTGAAACAGCATTTCATTTTTGCTACCCTCTCAAGGTAAACTTTAGAACTGTTTAAACAGTTCGATACAGTCAATCATATTTGACCATGATGTCGGGGAAGAAAAAATAATTTGTTTTAGACTATGCGTTTCCTGTGGAATGCTATCACACACAACTTCTGACGAAGGCATCCGTAGAAGTTGTACATCAATAAACGGTCTCCAAAGACCTACAGATACAATGAAGACCTAAACCAACATCCTGTCGTAATTTCCTTGGTATCCTTAATATGTATCCATCCTTCTATCAAGGCCTTTACGATATACATTTTTTATTCATAGTCAATTGAGATTTCACTTTTTTTGATACCTTCATCTAATTCTATCCTAACCTACAACATTTTTTTAGGAAAGGACTTTTTCAGGTAGTTGGAAAATCTTCCTTTAAGACAGACCTAATGGTCCATAAATCCTCAAATAGTCTATTAATCTTCTATCAAATCACCCTCAAACCTTCCTACTATCACCATCTATATAGAATTTGTTCAAGACGTTTGTGAGAACTCCTTTCATGTTCTCTACACGCCTAAAGGACTCATTTCAAGTCTCATTTAAATTCTGCTTCATATTCGCATTAAATGCTCCCTTCAACACTCATTTAAAGACTCCATTCAAGTCGTGAGTCTTCAAAGGAGACCTACTCGAAGTCTTTAATACTTTAGGTCGCTTTTAAAAATGTCCTTTATGTTCTTTCATGTCGATATTAAAAACTTCCGTCATCTCGTCTTTAAAGGTGACCTCCAAATCGCCTTTAAAGACTCCATTCCTGTCTACTTTTAAGACTTTCTTAGATGCCTTCAACTCGCCTCTAAAGTCTCCTTTAAGGTCGCTTTAATATTCTCCGATGAAGTCGCCTTTAAAGACTTCAATGAATTCGCGTTAATTACTCAATTTAAGTCTCCTTTAAAGGCTACCTCTAAACCGCCTTAAATACTCCTTTCAGGTCGCCTTTAGAGACTGCCTTCAAGTCGACTTTATTTACTCTCTTCAGGTCGCCTTTGAAGACTACTTATAGATTCTTTTTATAGGCTACCTCCAACTCGACTTAAATACTTCCTTCATGACCCCTTTAAAGACTTCCTTCAAATCGCCTTAAATGAGTCATTTCAAGTCTCATTTAAATTCTGCCTCAGATTCGCATTGAATGCTTCCCTCAACTCTCGTTTAAAGACTCCATTCAAGTCGCGAGTCTTCAAAGGCAACCTACACAAAGTCTTTAATGGTTCATGTCACCTTTAAAAATTGCCTTAATGTTCCTTTATGTCGCTATTAAAGACTCCCGTCATCTTGTCTTTAAATATGACCTCCAAGTCGTCTTTAAAGACTCCATTCCAGTCTACTTCAAATACTTTCTTATATTAGCCTTTTATGACTACCTTCAACTCGTCTCTGAAGACTCCTTTAAGGTCGGTTTTATAGTCTTCCTTGAAGTCGGCTGCAAAGATCCCATCCAATTCGCGTTAATTACACCATTTAAGTCTCCTTTTAAGGCTACCACCAAATTTCCTTAAATACTCTCTTCAGGTCGCCTTTGAAGACTACATATAGATTCTTATTAAACTCGACTTAAATACTAACTTCATGACGCCTTTAAAGACTTTGGCAATTTTCTTCTTTTGGTAAATTTTTTTCTAGTCGTCTATAAGGACAAAATCATTTCAGCTTGTCCATAAAGAATCCCTTCAGCATTTCTAGAAATACTACAGTCAACTTGTCTTGAAATACTTCCTTCAAATCGCCTTGAAATACTCGGTTCGTCTAGAAAACTCCCTCCATCTCGTCTAAAAAGTAACATCCCTTCACATTGAAATGCTCCCATCCGCTTGCCTTGAAAGACTCAATTCGTCGCGAAAGAATCTCTCCATCTCGTCTATAATCTCTCCTTCAGCTCGTCTAAGATGCGTGCCTCATAAGATGCGTTCGAAACCTCCAATAATAACATTTAATTGTCGTAATCGTCTACTGCTCAGGTTCCGCACAAGTCTATTGAGACTAACTTTGAATCACTTTTATGCAATCCATAGATACTGCTGGTGTTACTTAATCCAATCTCTACCAATATTTCCGTTTAATTTTATTTCAGAACGCCAGGCATTGAAGGCATCCCTTTACAACTTCAGTGAGCTGACGGCCGATCGTGAATGGTTATATGATGTGATAATGAGCGACACAGATACTGAAACCGATATCAGTGATGAAGATGATTATGTAAAGGAAATGTTGAGGACACATATGAAACAGCAGAAGCTAAGGGAGAACTATTACAAAAAACCCACAGTGAGTATTAAATGTGTTACCCCTGGAAGTGATTTTTTTAATTCTTAAATGTTTTTGTTTATTATTTTGCAGAACACCCAATATGCCTATTATGGTAGTGGCCTTTTATCAAATCATGATATGTTCACCGAACATCAACAATCCATTGTGGGTGTAAGAAAGCGAAAACGTCGCACGAAGAAGGAGAAGCCGATAAAAATCGCCCCCTTGCCAAAGTTACCAAAAATTCCAAAAATACGTAAACCACGTAAAATGAAACATAAGTTATTACAGGATCCTCAGCGAGGCGCAAAGGAGAGTAAAGAAAAATTACCACCTGTTCCGGGTACTTCTGGCAATTTAAAAGACGATGATGAAGATGTTGATGTACAATCAGACGTTGAAACGTCTATGACATTTGATTCACGTGATATGTCAGCATTAACTCCTGGCTATTCGGGTAGAGGAAGAAGGCGAAAGAGTCAACAGGGTCTGCCGCGTACACCCGAGGCATTGGCTGCAAGACGTAAACGTGTATGGCAACTTATGGCCAAAAAGGAGCTGGGTAGATGTCAACGTGCTCGCAGCAATAATCACAAAGAAATGGTACAGAATTGTAAGCGGGCCGCTACAATGTGTATGAAGGTGGTACGCCAACGAGCAATGGCTTCACAAAAAGTTATGAAGGAAACGGTTTGGAGGGCAAAACGTCTGACTCGAGAAATGTTATCATATTGGAAACGTTATGAGAGAGTGGAACGAGATACACGTCGTCGCATGGAAAAGGAGGCTGAGGAGCAACGTAAAATGGATGTAGAATTAATCGAGGTTAAACGACAACAAAGGAAACTTAATTTCTTGATAACCCAAACGGAACTCTATGCTCATTTTATGTCGAAAAAATTGGGTCAAGGCACCGAGGCGGAACAGCTGCGTATTCTCAATCAATTGGATGAAGAAGCAAATCCACGTTTGGCAGCCTATGATGATTATGATCCGGAAGAAATGAAACAATTGGCTCAACAGCAGGCCGAAGAGGCATTTGTCAATGATCAAAATAAGGCAAAGAGATTTGATGTTAGCATTAAAAAAGAATCATCCGGGCATAATGATTATATTAAGGAGGAAGATAAACCTCAGTCCCTGTTGACAGAAAAAACACAAGCCGATCTACCGCAGCCATCAATATTCAGAGGATCTCTGAAGGCATATCAAATAAAGGGTGAGTACGAAGTGATATTAGAAAATTTTATTTAAAATAAATCCATTTTTAATTAATTATTTGTTGTTCTTTAGGTATGACCTGGCTGGCCAATATTTATGACCAAGGCATCAGTGGCATTTTGGCTGATGAAATGGGTCTGGGTAAAACTGTGCAGTCCATAGCCTTTCTTTGTCACATTGCCGAACATTATGGTGTTTGGGGTCCATTTTTGATTATCTCTCCCGCTTCGACGTTACACAATTGGCAACAGGAATTGGAACGTTTTGCCCCAGATTTTAATGTCGTCCCCTATTGGGGTTCACCAAATGAACGGAAAATTCTTCGACAATTTTGGGAACAAAAAGATTTACACACCCGCGATGCCAGCTTTCATGTTGTCATCACTTCCTACCAACTAATTGTTTCCGATTATAAATATTTCAATCGCATCAAATGGCAATATATGGTATTGGATGAAGCTCAAGCCATTAAGAGTGCCTCATCAATGCGTTGGAAATTGCTATTGGGTTTTAATTGTCGCAATCGTTTACTGCTCAGTGGTACACCAATACAAAATAGTATGGCCGAATTGTGGGCCCTACTGCATTTTATTATGCCCACGCTCTTCGATTCACATGATGAATTTAATGAATGGTTCTCTAAAGATATCGAATCACATGCAGAAAATAAGACTGGTATTGACGAGAAACAAATCTCTCGACTACATATGATTTTAAAGCCGTTCATGTTGCGACGTATCAAAAAAGATGTTGAAAATGAATTATCAGATAAAATAGAAATTATGGTCTATTGTCCGTTGACAATACGTCAAAAACTTTTATATATGGCATTGAAACAAAAAATCCGCATCGAAGATCTTTTGAATTTGACTCGAGGTGGTGGTGGCACAACTGGTGATGGTAGCCATCACATAGATCGTAATTTCACTTCGAATCTTATGAATCTCGTTATGCAATTTCGTAAAGTGTGTAATCATCCAGAGTTGTTTGAACGTCGCGATGCCAAAAGTCCATTTGTAATGAAGTGTCAGGAATATGTACTGCCACGATTGGTATTCGACGATGGATTGCTGTATAGATCTCTGCCAAGTCAAAGGCATTTACTTTATAATCGGTGAGTATGAAACGAATATAAAATTATTTATAGACAAACGTACTCGAGGTCTTTAATAAACACATTTAATCTATAGAGATTCTCAGGGCTTCAGCTCGTCTATAGAGACTGTCATCAGCTCCTCAATAAAGACTCCTTTTCTCCGTTCAGTTATAAAAGCTTCCCTCAGCTCGCCTCTAACTTTTTAAATTTTTTTCTTGGGCCTAATAAACGATTTTTCTTCTCATTTCAGTTTTTCCATATTCAAAGCCGACTACTCACATCATTCCTTGTTCCATGAACCATCATCACCCTCAACCTCGAATGCTCAACTGAAATCGAATGAGAATTATCCCCGCTATATAGATTTAAATGTGGCCAATGAAGGCTGTTTTAGTTTCACACGACTCTGTGATATATCGCCCAAAGATTTGGAAGATACAACAATAAATGGTTTAATAACACTACTACAACATTATCGCCGTAAAGTATTACTACAACAATTGTTGGCCTATCGCCGACAATGGTGGTCGCCGGAGTATAAAACCACAAGATTTCAGTTACTCGAACCCACATTGGAGAATCCTTTAAATAAAAATTATCTCTTTGAGACAAGTGTTATAAGGCAGCTATTGTTTACGGGATTGGTAAGAATATACAATTTTACTCACTTCCCCCATTCAATATAAATTGCATTTTCTCGTTTTTTCTAGACCTCCAAGGAAAGCTCAGTATATGCCTTTGGCGACTACAAAACCTGTAACATGCAAGAGACCATCGAACATCGGGTGATACGTAGCAAATATAAACAAAACATTGAAGAAGCTGAAATTAAAAATGAAATGCTTGATGAGGCTGAATCGGAATTAATTATGAATACAGCGGGTGGTTCATCGAATAATACCAAGAAGCTTTCCAAAGAACCATTACGTCTACTGCCAGAATTTGAACATAAGCGGCGTTTGCCGCAATACTATCAATGTGAACCATTGGATATGCCACGTTTCCTATATGGACTCAATCAGAAAGTTAATACCTATAATAGGCATTTATAGTAAGTTATTTTTTTCCTTATTCAGTAAAGTATTATTTTAATTAAATTTTGTTTAATTCTTTAGCTGTGAAAGTCGTGCCGCTGCCTGGTCTCAAATACGCCATTTGCATTGTGAAAATCCTGAAGGTCTGGAAGTTGTTAATTCTGGCATGGAATTGTTGACACCCAAATTTGGTTGGTCCTCTATTGTTATACCCGATAAGGAAACACTTATTTCGGATGCTGGTAAATTATCTGTATTGGATAGTTTATTGACTCGTCTCAAGGCTGAAGGTCATCGTGTGCTGATTTATTCGCAGATGACCAAAATGATTGATTTATTGGAGGTAAGGAAAATAAAATAATCAGACTATAGATGAACTGAAAGGAGGCGAGCTGAAGGGAGTCTTTATAGACGAACTGAAGGGAGTCTTTATAGACGAACAGAAGTGAGTCTTTATAGACGAACTAAAGGGAGTATTTTAGACGAACAGAAGTGAGTCTTTAGAGACGAACTAAAGGCAGTCTTTATAGACGAATCTTTCTAGACGAGCAGAAGGGATTCTTTATAGACTAGCTAAGGAGCGACTTTTTAGACGAGTTATATTCAGCCTTCATAGTAGTCTTTTTAGGCGAGACGTTCTGTAAGGAAACTGTCTTCACGACCAGAATGGGAACCTTTGTGCTTATTTACAAAGACCTTTCTACACTTTTTGATGGAGTTTTTATAGACCTGAAGTTAGTCTTTATATACGAGCAGAAAACAGTCGTTATAGACAAACCGAAAATTGTCTAAAGGCGATCGAAAGGAGCCCATGGAAGACCAGCTGTTGGGCATGGATTCTTTATAGATCAATTGAAAGGTCAGAGTGATGGCATAATGCAGTGGATAGTGTGCCAGTCTGTAAACCGATGATTCCCGGAAAAAATGGTTTCAAAGATAATGTACCCGAAGGCAGTTATTATTGACGAGCTGATGGGAGATATGTAAGGACTCCGATGATAAGGACGAGCTGATGGGAGTCCTTACATATGAGTTGAAGGGAGTCTACAGGCGAGCAGAAGAGTGTCAGCTTCTCTTTAAAGACGAATTGATGTGCAGGGAGTCTTTATAGATGAGACGCAGTGTCAGGGTCAGAAAGTCCTTTTAAATGAGCTGAAGGGTCCCGAAATCGTTTTAGACCAGTTGGAAGTTGAGGGAGATTTTTTAGTTGAGCTTAAGTGTCAAAAAGAGAGTCTCTACAGATGAAGGGAGTCTTTGTAGAGCTTAACCGAAAAATGTTTACACGAGATGATCTTGGCAGTTTTCATAGTCGATTAGAACTATGGTCCTTAGAAGGAGGTGAAGGACCAGTGAGTCGGGGGAGACAAGCTTGATGTAGTCTTATATACGAGTTGCACGGGAATAATTTTAGACCAGCATAAGAGAGTCTTTGTAGAATCACTTATAAATGAGTTGGAGGGAGTCAATATAAAGCGTGTGTCTTGACAGGGGAGCTGTAGGAAATATTGTTTCTAGAATTGGACATTTAGGCAACCTGAAGAGCCAGACATTTTTCATAGACGGGCTTAAGTATATTGGAGTCTTCATAATTGAATTGAAGTGTCAGGGATCCTTTATAAACGAACAGAAGGGTCAAAGAGTTGAAGGCCAGGAAGTCCTTATATACGAGCTAAATGGTTTAGGGAGTCAAGTTGAAAGTCTTTTTTCGACGAGCTAAAGGGTCAGACATGAAGTCTCTGCCTCTAAAATTACTTTAGAAGAAGAAGTCTGTTTCTATAGACGGCTTGACAAGAAGTTTGTCTGCCTATAGACGATTTGAAAAGGACTCGGTCTACCTAAGGACGCCTTCCAAAAAAGTCGGTATCCCTGTAGACGACGTCTTTATAACCAGTCAGTCTGCCTATAGCCGAGTTCAGATGGATCTTAAAACTTAAAAAGCGGACTATAGACCAGTTTATTTGACAGATTTTTATATTCTCATATTCAATTCTAATATTTCTATTATTTTTTCCAGGAATACATGTGGCATCGTAAACATCGATATATGCGTTTGGATGGTTCCAGTAAAATATCAGCCCGTCGTGATATGGTCGCAGATTTTCAATCACGTCAGGATATTTTTGTATTTTTGCTGTCCACAAGAGCCGGTGGTTTGGGTATTAATCTAACGGCTGCCGATACGGTAAGTACCCGATTGTATTATTTCTATATACCTTAATGAAGTGATTTTTTATTGTGAGATGTTTACAAGAGTTGGGGTTTTTTCCGGAATGAACTACTTCAAAGGAGAAATGAGGGATCAGTACTAGATCCAGTTCTTTCGTTTATTTAGTTCACCAAGTTCCTCATTCCAAGTTCCTTATGATCCAATCGTTCATCTATTTTTGTCCTGTTCATTGACCGAATTAACTGAGTTGTACCAATGAACTATTGAATTAAAATGAAATAAATAAATAATGTAGTCCCTTTTAAGATGCAAACTGAATTAGATCGAACCGCTTCGGGAATGGTACTGCCTAAAACTAATGTATACAAATTGCTGGTACTAGTCACCAGTTTTTGTGTGAGGATTTCAAAAACTTCCGTTATCAAAAATTAGCCAGTCTCAAAAAAAAAACCTCTTTAAAAAACTCCATTTCAAAAATCTTCTCACACTTTGTGGCATTGAATTGGGATGACACAAAATCGGTAAAAAAACCCCAACTCCAATTCAAAAAAAAAAAAACCAGAACATTTACCAAACATTCTAAAACTACAAATCGAATGTTATGTTTTTTTGCGATATTGTGGCAACCGAAACAAATGATTTCGATGTTTTTTTTTTTTATTTTGGCCGCAACATTGATCCCAAATAACTGTGGCATGAAACAAACGGAAATTTGCAATGAATTGGTCACAGAAAGTTAACAAAAAACATACACGGTCATAAAACTAGCAATCATGAGAATCAGCGGCAGCAGCAGTCACAATGAAATATTGAAAGTTAAATTCTAAACCAAACGTACAATTACTAAACACAAAAAAGATAAGAAAACCAAAAAAACTTTGGAGGGTACCACAGCTCAACAATATATGAATGAATGCATCTTGACTATCTGTTTCTCATTTTTTTTTTTAGAATATACGAGGGTTGTAATATATGGTTCTGATAAAGGCTAATTATTGAGACCAATTCAGTTTCCTCAGTACAGACTCTTCCTAAGAAGGGCAACTCTATGGACTTGTAAGACCGAATGCCTATATAAAATCTTCAATGTATACTGAACCCTATTACGATTTTGATGAGCTGAAGGGAGTCTTTATAGACGGCCTGAAGGGATTCTTTATAGACGAGCTGAAGGGAGTCTTTATAGACGAGCTGAAGGGAGTCTTTGTAGACGAGCTGAAGGGAGTCTTTGTAGACGAGCTGAAGGGAGTCTTTGTAGACGAGCTGAAGGGAGTCTTTGTAGACGAGCTGAAGGGAGTCTTTGTAGACGAGCTGAAGGGAGTCTTTCATAGACGAGCTGAAGGGAGTCTTTCATAGACGAGCTGAAGGGAGTCTTTCATAGACGAGCTGAAGGGAGTCTTTCATAGACGAGCTGAAGGGAGTCTTTCATAGACGAGCTGAAGGGAGTCTTTCATAGACGAGCTGAAGGGAGTCTTTCATAGACGAGCTGAAGGGAGTCTTTCATAGACGAGCTGAAGGGAGTCTTTCATAGACGAGCTGAAGGGGGTCTTTCATAGACGAGCTGAAGGGAGTCTTTCATAGACGAGCTGAAGGGAGTCTTTTATAGACGAGCTGAAGGGAGTCTTTCATAGACGAGCTGAAAAGGGAGTCTTTCATAGACGAGCTGAAGGGAGTCTTTCATAGACGAGCTGAAAAGGGAGTCTTTCATAGACGAGCTGAATGGAGTCTTTCATAGACGAGCTGAAGGGAGTCTTTCATAGACGAGCTGAAGGGAGTCTTTCATAGACGAGCTGAAGGGAGTCTTTCATAGACGAGCTGAAAAGGGAGTCTTTCATAGACGAGCTGAAGGGAGTCTTTCATAGACGAGCTGAAAAGGGAGTCTTTCATAGACGAGCTGAAAAGGGAGTCTTTCATAGACGAGCTGAAAAGGGAGTCTTTCATAGACGAGCTGAATGGAGTCTTTCATAGACGAGCTGAAGGGAGTTTTTCATAGACGAACTGCATGGAATCTTTATAGACGAGCTGAAAGGAGTCTTGATAGACGAGCTGAAGGGAGTCTTTATAGACGATCTGATGGGAGTCTATATAGGCGAGCTGAAGGGAGTCTTTGTAGGCGAGCTGAAAGGAGTCTTTGTAGGCGAGTTGAAGGGAGTCTTTATAGGCGAGCTGAAGGGTGTTTTTATAGACGTGCTGAAGGAAGACTTTATAGACAAGAAGACGAAGTCTTTATATGCGAGGGCGATTTTGAGGGAGATGAACTGAAACGTGAATCTGTGAGATGAAGGACCAGGAAGGTTTGATAGACCAGCAGAAGGAAGTCTTTATAGATGGGTAGAATCAGAGTGTCTGAGACCTCAGTCGTGATGATTTCTTTTTAATATCAGACCTCAGTTCTGCTTTTTTTAAGTATATACTAGTGTTGTAATATAAGGTTGTGATAATCAGACATTTATTGAGACAAATTCAGTGTCCTCTATTGAGACTCTTTCAAAGATGATCGACTCGTAAGAACGAATGCCTATAAATTTACCATTTATATCAAACCCTTTTACGATCCTGTATTTTCGGCAATCCACTTTTAAGATTTATTCAAGGTCAACATTAAGTCTTTTTTTATAGTCAAGAGACTTCTGTAAATATTCCGATTTTTTTAATTTTTTCCCATCCTACCCATTCTTCCCTCGTATCTACAGTTTTTTTTTGTTCACACACAAATCAGAACATTTACTACTCGTACATCATCGTACATTGGAGTTAATGTAACCGCAACAACAATACTACAATGTCGCCAAATGTTGTCAACATAATCGATACGAAAAAAATTAGGCGGAGAAGGGCAGAAGTTCGACAGACAAACTTCTTCTTCATCACCATCATCTGTACAATCTTGAGAAACAAACGATCAACATACGATACACGATGTGAGTGAGTTAAACCTCAAAGTATCAGGGCAAAGTACCATCATTGCCATTTGTTGGGGAGATAAAACATATTTTCGATGGTTATTTCCTCTTTGTTATTCGTTTTGTTGTTGTTCTTTGATTTCAACATTAAATTATAGCACAATGGTGGAGGACTAAAAGAAGAACGACTTTAGACCAAATACGAATTGGTTTTTTTCCTCACATCGTCCCTAACTGGCTGTTAGTCCTCCGTTTTGTTACCATGCCTAAGTGGTTAACTTGGCTGCCTCATTGATTTGTTGTTGCTGTTGTTGGTATTTAGTTTGGGGAGAAAACTCCTCGTTGTGATTTATAGACTGTGAGGATGACAAAGAAATTTAACATGTTTACTGGTTGTCGTCGTCGGCTAGTTATCCCTACTTAACTGTGGCGGATTCGTTTTTTTGTTCGTTTCACTTTGTTTTGCCTTAACATTGGAAACCGATTATGGGAATATTTGAGAAAAAAATTCTTCATTCTCCTTTTCTCAGTTAAAGTATTTTGTGAATTGCTGCAGCTTGCCGAAGAAAATTTGAAAATTTTACCACAGCCTTGTAAATTGTTGAAATATTGGAAATTATCGAAATAAAACAAAGCTTTCAAGATTTTGCGTGTGTGTGGGAAAATAGCGGAGAAATAAATTTCAATATAATTTCTGTATGAAAAGGCAAGGTGTTAAAATGTGTGTGTGATCTCTTAGGGATAATGTACCTACAGACCTTTATCTAGAGAAGATCTGCAGTAGGCCTAACATCAATTCTGTTATATACATATGTATTGTTTTGTTTTTCTAATGCGGGAGCAACAAATCCCTGCTACGGGTGATTTTAATACGAGACGGAATCGAACAAAACCACGGACCTTTATTACAATCCCATCACGGCCGGTTCTTGGGATCTACATTACAGGGAATGTCTGCTCCGGATTCTTTTGGTCCGTGTCGGGATTGAGACAAACCTCATGGTTCCGCCCAGTTTGTCACAACAGCATTCACCACAGATCTATCTAGGTGAGATGCAATGGATGCGGAGAATGGGTTCATTTCAGGAGTTGTTTCGGCCTTAGCCGTATACAGAAGAATAGCTAAAGGGGCTAAGTTGCTTCATGCTGCGCAAATGCAGTCCCCAGCGTCTTCGGATTACGTGACTCCCCCGCAATCTCCGCAGCAGCATTCTGTGCCGCTTCCGCTAACACCGCACATTGCTGTCACAACTCCTGATAACGTATCTTTTCTACAATTCAACTGCGATGGACTTCGAGGGAAAATCAACTAGATTGTCGATTTTATGAGTCCAAGAAGTATTATGGTCGCGGCGATCTCGAAAACGAACAACACCTGTAGTCTTCACAGTTGGGATGGATACAACGTTATTAGAAAGGATCGTACGCCGTTAAATAGCTGTGCCCCGCCTGACATTAGTCATCTTTTGGAAGGCTATGATCTGGCGCTAGGGAATTTCTATGCAGATCATGAGTTATGACATTCAGTCCTAGTTAATGACCCGAGGGCCATGGTATTGGCCGATCAAATTGATAGCTCAACGTTTTGCACGGTGAATGGGGAAATACCCACCAGGATAAGGGGATACTGCCAAAGCTCACCCGACATTTCCATCGTGTCTCCAGGTCTGACGAATGTCGTGGCTTGGCAACCCGTCATTTCATTGGGATCAGATCAGCTCCCTATTATCATATACATCAACAGACCACACGACTTCATAACTTCTGAACGCGGCACTTTCCTTAATCATAGGAAAGCCAATTGTCAAGAGTTCAGGAATTTCACCAATCGTCACTTCAGAGAACTGCCCAATCCTTCTGATGCTTGCTGCAGCCCCTCACTATATACCTGCGGATCGTATACCCGAATTAAGACCAATCTCTCCAGCAGAGGCAGCGGGATTATCGAATAGCGTGTTGAGCTTCGTCGTACTAACCCCTGAATCAGACAACGGTTGATGGGGTGGACAGGTTTGTCGGCGAGAACAAGCGGACAAAGTGCCTAGAACATCTGAAGTGTTGCAACATCAGTACAAGAGTGAGTTAATTGTTGGTAACGACCCTGGGAGAAAG